TTCTTCTTCTTCTTCTTCTTCTTCTTCTTCTTCTTCTTCTTCTTCTTCTTCTTTGTCTTCTTCGGGAGCTAAACAAGATTGTAGGCCTACAAACTTCGACCTGAATCTGCTTGCTGCTACCCGTATTGAAGATTTCGTGCTGTGATGAGAGTAAAACATATAATATAGATTCAGCATTCGGATATGGGTGGTCTATCCTACAGACAAGGTCTTCATAGGACAACATGCCCTTACCAGTCGTACTCTTACTGGTTGATTCAGAAAACAAAAAAATCAATTAAACAAAAAGTAAAAGCTTTCAAACAAAATGTCTGCGAAAACTCGGAATGAATTGATCACAAATAATGAAATGTTGGAAAGAGCTGGGATACCAATACGACCACAAAAAGGAAGATGGAGATTTTGGGGACATTCTTTTAGGACGCTAGAGGCAAGACTGTTCTTCCAGAAATTATATTTACAAGGACCAAATAGATCTAAATGAAAAAAAGAAATAGTAGACCAAGTGGCAACTATAAAAGTACGAATAGTACGTTCAAAGATGAGGCACCTCCCAGGGGCTAGATGAGACAAAGCTGGAAGAAGTTTCCAAGGAGAGACCAGAGTGGTTTCGGCGGCTCTACGTTTTGTGTACTTTACGGTATTGGAAAAAAGTACATAATAAGTACCTTCAAACTTGTTCTGACGACCTCTTGTCCAAGACAATCACCTGTACCAACGACCACTTCCCATTTCCCTCCTTTGCGTATATTTTGTAATGGTAATTTCATTTTGGCAATGTCCTAGAGGACTACCTGCCTAAAATGACCACTTTTCTGCACGACAATAGATGAATGTCTTAGACAGGCTCGACTGTACATTTATTAAGTTGTTGTGAGAGTAGGTGGAGCTTTGGCACCTCATAACAAGATATTACATATTAGAGAGACATTTCTTTTGATGGACTGCGTTCTGTTTGAATTTAATTACATGTATGTCTACTCTATAGTGTGGTCAAAATTTCATGGCGCAATTTCCTTAACGATTGACATAGTCCAGATTTTTCACAATGACTTGTATTAATTTGTCTTAACTAATCAAAATTTTTGTGAATATCTGTAAGCTTTATTCTAGAAAATTCCTTACTAAACTCAAATTTTAAGAATTTTTTCTACAGATTTTAAAAGAGTTACTTCCCAGGAGCTGGGACAATATGTGAGGCAGCGTGGTGGAATCAGGCTCTCGTCAAAATAATCAAAATAAAGA